CTTGTCGGCGAAGATGCGCGGGTGGGCAAGCCTGATCTTCGACGGGGCCAGGTCCTTGATCTCGCCCGCCAGAGACTGCGCGGCTTTGCCCATGGCCTGCATCACCTTGCCAGCCCCTCCCCAGGGGAGGGATCGACATTGGGAAGACTCAAATGCTCTTCGCCCACTTCCTCCTCGTCTCCTTCCCCCTCCACCTCTCCTCCTCAACCTCCTCCTCTTCTCCAGCAGCCCTGCCCTGCAGTGGAGACCAGAGCGCAAGAAACCCACCGCAAGACACCAGGCCCTGAAATCCGCCCGAAGTTTCTTGGCCCAGGGTTGGGTGTCTTGCACTTGGGCTGCAAACGAAGAAGCCCAGGGCACCCTGACCCGAGCGGTTTCTCGATCACCCGCGTAAGCTACTTTGACATCAAGAAACCCAGGGCGATCGACAGCGTGATCTCCGGGCCTTGCACGAACGGGAAGTTCAACGCCTGCTTTCGGAATGACATGGCGGCGTGTCTATTGTGGACAATACAGAACTCCTCACGCGCACGCGCGTGGTGACTTCTGTAGCGCCCACAAAAGAAAAGTCGGCATGTCCGTCGGCTTCCTTAAAGGCCCACAGAAATGTCAACTTCTGTCATTCGAAATACATTGCGGCTTTTCTATCCTCCTCGCGCGCGCGCGTGGGGACTTCCACATTGCCCACAATTCAAAAGTCGGCATGTCAGTCGGCCCCCTTAGAGGCCGACAGAAATGTCGAATTCTGTTTTTCGGAATTACATGGCGGCTTTTCTCTTTTATATCGTGGACAATACAGAACTCCTCACGCGCGCGCGCGGGGACATCTGCATCGCCCACGATACAAAAGTAAGCTCTTCCGCAGGCCCCCATTCAAGGGCGCGCGCCCCGAAATGCGCCGCGCACAATAAACCCAAGGTGCCCTGACATTCGCAGTTTCTTCGGGGCGGCGGCGACCAGCCCCGCCAGACGCAAGCCGAAGAACCCAGGGAACCCTGACGAAACAGAAGATGCTCTTGACTTGCGCCCGCGCTGCACAGCCGACCTTGCCCTGGAGCTCGGTCGCGACCCTGGCCAAGCGGCCGCCCTCGAGGCCCATGTCGATCTGGGCACCCCAGTTCGCCGAAGCCCCAGGGGGGCTCTCGAGAGGCGAAGTCAACCAGCTCGAGAACGCGCCCCCCTCGTCCTTGAGCTCCTCCATCTTCTCCACCACGTCGTCCGATACGGAAAAGCCCGAGACGTCGAAGTCCGTCGAGCACTCGTGCACGAGAAAGCAGATCGCAGTTGCAAGGCGGTGCCCACGAAGACGAAACTGCGTCCTCGAGTTCTCGCCGCCCTCGAAAACGAACGCAGCTGACTCCAACTGAGTCAGGGCACCCTGCACGTCATCCTGATGATTCAAATGCGACCTTGCAGCTGGGGCCAACGCGGAGAAATCCACGGTCGGTTTCACGAGCTCGGCGGTCCGCCATCCAGCCAGCGCTGGCGCGGCGCCGAGCCCCTCCCCCACCTCCTTTTTTTTTTTTTTTTTTTTTTTTCTCTCTCTCTCTCTCTCACTCTCTCTCTCTCTCTCTCTCTCTCTCTCTCTCCCTCTCTCTCTCTTCTCTATGCTCCCGATAGCTACTCTCTTTTGCTCTCTCTCTCTCCTCCTCCTCTCTCTCTCTCTCTCCCTCTCTCTATCTCGCATCCGTCGTCTTCTCTCTCCTCCCTCTCTTTCCCTCTCTCTCTCTCTCTCCTCCTCTCTCGCTCTCTTCTCGTCTCTCTCTTTTCTCTTCCTCTCTCTCTCTCTCTCTCTCTCTCATCTCATCTCTCTCTCTCTCTCGTCTCTCTATCTCTTCCCCCCCTCCCTCCCCCCCCCCCCCCTCCCCCCTCCCACCCATCTCCCCCGCCTCCGCCCGGCTTCCCCCCCCCCCCCCCGGCCCGCCTCCCCCCATCAATCCAATCATCCTCACCACCCCCCTCCGCGCTCCTCCCCCCCCCCCTTCCTTCCCCCCCCCCCTTCCCCCCCTTCCCCCCCCCCCCTCCCCCCCCCCCCCCCCCCCCCCCCCCCCAACACCACCACACCCACCCCACCGCCGCCCCCCCCCCGGCCCCACCCCGCCCCCTCCCCGCCCCGCCCCGCCCCACCCCGCCCCCGCCCCACCCCGCGCCAGCAATAGAGCAATGGAGAAACGACGAGGAGAATGGGGACAGGGGGGGGGGGGGACGGGGGGGGATGGGCAGATCGGGAAGATGAGGAGGGAGCGGGGGCAGCGAAGGCGGTAGCCATGCGAATGATGAGTTGGACGCACTCCCTGAACTCGCTTTTCAAAGTCGATCTCGGGGCCTCGCATTGACCCAGAACTCGCTTAGAAAGCACAGGCATCAACTGATCGGTAAGCCACGCGGGAACCTGTCTGAACGAAGCGGGCGGCGCCTCGTCATCCACGTTCAGGAGTTCGCCAATGAAGCCGATGACGTTCTTGCGCGCAAAGGTCAGTAATCGCGACGCGGGTACATCGAGCAACGTGGAGTCGCCACTCATCGCCTTCTTCGTCGCATCGGTTTCCCAATGCTGCGAAATCTCTGCAGCGGAGCGAGTGGCCAGGACAGCGGGGCCAAACGCTGGCTCGGCGAGGGTGCTGGAGTCGATCTGTTCCTTGCCCATGGCCTTCGAGCTGTCGGCGACGTCCTGCAGGGAGGGGGGGGGGGGGGGGGCGGGGGCGAGCTACACGTAACACATAACAGAACGCATACGGTATAAGGCATAACTAACACGTAACAAACGCTGGAGAGCGAAACAGAACCTGGGTTGCTCTGGGGCTGCGGGCTATTATGGGAAAGTATGGGGGAGTGGAGGGAAGAACTCGGCGAAGAAGGGGCGCTGTGTATCACGCGTCCTGGAGGGCCTTGCTCACCGCCTCGAAGCGAGTGCCAGCGTCGCCCCCCCCGTCGATGTAGACGCGATGGGCGTCCAAGAGCCCCTTCGCGCCAGTGGCTGAAACGAATGTGAAACACCGCATGGTGCTTGTGGCGAGATCAGATTGTAACTCTGGTATGGAGGTCGAAGCGATGTCCACAGTGGAAGATAGCTTGTTCAATTATGTCGCCATTCTCCCCCACTCCTCGACCTGACCTGGATGCGAATCGAAGCCGACCAGGGACTTGCTAATGCGCTCGCGGACATTGCGCAAGGATCCGAGGTCAGTCTCGAGCTCGTCGAACATTTTCACGCGCTTGTCTGCACCCTCTATGAATAGCTTGCCATGGAGAGGAAACTGCACCAGCAGATTTGCCAAAGAGCTCTGGTCCTGAACGTCCTCGCGCGCCCTCTTCAAGTTCGAGTGCGCGTTCTTGCTGAGGGTGGGGGCTGGCAACTCCCGAAGGAGGTGTAACTTCTGAACGGCATCGCGCACGCTGGAGGGGCACTCGAAGCTCTCGCCCATGAAAGCAGAGCACACGAGGCTCGTCGCATCCTTGCACTTCGCGAACGGAACCTGGCTGGAACAGGGAAGGGGCCCGCGAGGCAAGAGCGGGCGCCGAATTAGAGTGGGGGCAAGGGGAGAAGGGAAGGGCAAGTAGGGAAGCATGCAATATGTAGTATGTGAGGAGGAGGAAAGGAGGAAGGAGGAAGGAGGAAAGGAAGGAAGGATAAAGGGAAGGCAGGAAGGAGGGAAGGAGGGAAGGATGGAAAGGGGGGACGCATGGAAAAACAACAGAATATGGGAATATGTAGGACAGAACCTTCTGCGCCAATGCAGCTGCCGCCCGCTCCCTGATGAACCTGATCTGCCTGCTAGCGTGGTCGCACTCGTCCCCGAGTGCTGCCTTCAGCTGGGCAGCCGAGATGCCCTTCGCCGGGGATTGGGCAATCTCGCCGAATGGCCGAGAAGCCTCCGGAGGGGTCTGGTTTCCAGAGCGTGCTCTCTCCTCCTCCAGCTCCTCCTCCTCTCCCCCTCCTCCTCTCCCCTCCTCCTCCTTTCCTCCTCTCCTCCTCCTCTCTCCCATTCCTCCTTTCCTCCTCCTCTCCTCCTTCCCCTCCGCCACCTCCCCGCGCCTTCAGCTGGATGTTATGGCTCCATAGAAACTGAGACTGCGGTGTGACCTTTGGATGAGCACGACAGAAATCTTCAAGGCTCGCCCAAGAAGCGCCCCAAGCAACATAATATTTTCCACCACAGGACCACGAAATCTCCACCCGCGGCACAGCTTGATTCCCGACTCGATCACCTGCAGCCGTTGCATCACCAACTCGACTTTGTCCTTCCCGTCCCCAGCTGCCATGTTCAATACCTTCATGCGGATCTTGTTAACGTTCCGACCGATGAGCCTAAGCTGGACGTGCGACATCCTATTGAAATGCTAAGACGTATCTGAAGACGTTGCGAACTCCCTCCACAAGCGAGCCTCCACTTGTTCAACATCTTTTGACGGGGCCCCACGTCGACGTCTCTCGCCCAGTCCTTCTTGGTCGCCCTGTCCTTCTGGGTCTTCATCGGGACCTTCAACTTGAACATCGGCATCGGGGGCCTGGCTTGCCTCTGGGTTCTTCTTCTGCCTGGCGGGTCGCCCAGAGGCGGCTGGCTTAGGCTTGGGCCCCCTGGGCGCCTCACCCAACGCATCGTCCTCGGACAAATCTGCGTCGCCCTCGTCGACCCCCCTGCCGAATGTCTCGTAGTTGTCCCTCCTCGCGGTCGGTTTGGCTGCAGCTTTGGACCGGCGCCTCTTCCTCTGGGCCTTCGCCTTCGTCGGCCTCTCAGCTTCTCTCGCGGCCTCCTCTTCGTCCAAGGCGCACGGCCCCAAGACTGACGTCGCGGCCCCAGTGGCAATAGACGCGTACGCCTTACTCCTAGAAGCCTGGGCCTCTTCGAACTTGGATTGGGCAATATCTTCATCCCCGTCTGAATTCCCGACGTCTTCCTCTTCGTCCATTTCAATTCGTTGTCCCGACCTCCGCTCAATGTAGAAGGGCCGCTGTCCGTCGTCGCCAGGAATGATGACGCCCTTAATCCCCTCAACGACAGAGACAGCACGTTTCAAAGCCTTGTTCCTCGGCGCAGATGGGCCCCCATACTGCGCGTTGTACCTGTCGAGCGGAAGAAAAGCGCCCCCGGGGCGAATGAAAACCGCGTCGTTGTAGCTCTGGCTGCGCGCGGCGACGGCCTCGACGCCGCCCGGCTGCAGCAGGATAACTTAAATCCTGCGCCTGCTCCGCCCCCCACCCCCCCCCCCCCGCGCCCCACCCCAGCCCCGCCCCCCCGTCCGCCCGCCTGTCGCCCCCTCATATCCACTCCCCCTCGCCCGCCACTTTGCTCCGCCCCTGCCCCGCATCCCTGCTCAAAGCTAGCGCCCCCACGTTTCGGGGGCTTCTTGCCGACCTTGAAGCCGCCGCGGTCCGTGATGCGCTGAATGGTATTCTTCCTCGTCCAGGAACGCGGCGCGCTTGTCGCTGTCCTTGCCCATCTCCTTCTGGACCTCGGCCGCGTCGCGGTGGCCTGAGACGCGGGCCGCTTCCAAGCCCAAGTATCGCTGCAATGCCAGCAGCTATCACCCCAAGCTTTGGACCCCTCCAAATCATTGGCGTCGCACTTCCAACGGATCTTCTTAGATGGACATATTGGATCGCGCGTTGAGCCCTGGATAGCACCGCGAAGAAAAACGCAGTTTCCCTCGCTTGCAATCATCGTCATCATCACGCTGGGAACCAGACTGATGCTGCTGAACCGTCTTCGAGTCTTGCGCCAGCGATGCCTGTGGCGGGGGGGACAACGGTCAACGCTTTAATCTCCGCCCTCCCCCGCCACCCTCATTCCTCCGCCAATTTCCCCCACCTCCTCCTTCACCCCTCTCTTCATCGAGCTACCTTCTTGGCCGCTGGCGGCGCGCCGCCATCGGGCTGAACCGCCTTCGCAGCGCCTTCCGCTTCCGCTCTGGACGCTCGCCCTCCTCGCGGGGCGCGCCAGGGCGGCGGGCCAGGCGGCGCCAGCAACGGGGTGGGTGAGCAACGAAAAACGAAACAATGGACACTGGCTAATGGCTTGGAAGCACCCTGCCGATCCTCGGCCTTGACCGCCGGGGCGCTGCCCTTGGCAGGCGATTCGACGCCGTCGGCGGCAATTTCCTCCTTCGCCGCCTCAGGCCTGCTGGCCGACGCCGTGCTGCCCCCCTCTCCTCGAGGGGCGGAGGCCTTGCCGCGGCCCCCTCGGGCTTCCGAGCCTTCGCCGTCGGGCCCGAAGACAACAGGGCCCCTCAAAAAAAAAAAAAAAACAAACTGACGCCGGAAGTCTCGGGCCCGACGCGGCTCTCGGGGCGCGACGAAGAGGGGGGCGGAGAGGAGGTGGAAGGAAGAAGAAAGGGGCGGCGAAAGAGGAAAGAGCGACGGGGGGGGAGCAGTTGCAAAGGGGGAAGGGCGAAGGGCGAGGCGAGGGGCGACGGAGGGGCCAAGACAGAGAAACAGACCAGAGCTAGGGAACAAGAGTACGAGAACCTGAATTTTGACATACCAACCGCGCAAGAACATGTACTGCATCACGCCGCATAACACCATCGAAGCGTCCTCCTCCTCCTCCTGCTCCTCCTCCCCCTTCTCCTCCTCGTACTCCTCCTCCTACTCCCTCTTCCTGTTCCCTCCTGCTCCATCCTTCATCCTCCATTCCCCGCCCCTCCCCCCCCCTCCTCGCTTCTCCCTCGCTGGCCCTCGTCTGAGCTGATATCCAGCAAGCCCCCCACTTCTTATCCACCTCCTTCTTCTTCTCCTGCGGGGCCATGTAGCCCTTCACGCCCTGCCGGATGATCAGCGTGCTCAGGGGGCGGGGGGGTGCCAGAGCCAAACGTCGCGCGGTGCTGCCCCGTAGAGTAGAACCAGGTCGACGGGGGGATCTACCTCGCCGGGTTCCTCCCCCCCGTTCCCCTCGGCACCGTCGCAGTTGTAGTTGCGTTGCTGGCCGTCGTCAATCTCCTCCAGAATCGACTGAGGGATGTGCTTGTCCAAAGACAAGCTGAGAGCCTCGATGATCGGGGCGCGCGCGAAGCCGCTCAGGACGGTCGGGCACAGAACTTTGGCGCAGAACGCATTACCTGCCATATCCACCCTGTTGGCATCGGTGAACTCGTGGTGGGCCTCCGTACTTTGGACGTCGTAATCGAACCCTTGCAAAGCAAGAGCCTCTGCGCCAGAACCGCGCGCCTCGCCCAATCAGGGGGGGGGGGGGGGGAGGAGGGGGGCGGGGGGGGCAGCCTAGCAATGCAGACCACTGATGCTATCAATGCCGATTTCTGTTTTCGACTGCCCCGTATTTTCGCTCTCGTCCCTCTCCTCCTCTCTCGTTCTCTCTCTCTCTCTCTCTCTCTATAATCGTACCTCTCTCATCTCTCTCTCTCCTCTCTCTCGTGCTCTCCCTCTCTAATCTCTCTCTTCTCTCTCTCTCTCGCGAAAAGTAAAGTCTCTTTCTCTCTCTCTCTCTCTCTCTGCCTTCTCTCTTTCTCTTTCTCTTCTCTTTCTCTCTCGCTCTCTCTGCTCTCTCTCTCTCTCTCTCCTTTTTTTTTTTTTTTTTTTTTTTTTTTTTTTTTTCTCTCTGTACTCTTACTCGATGTCGCTTGGGGTTCTCTCGTTCTCTCGTCTACTTCTCTTCCTCTCCTCTCCTCTCTCTCTTTTTCCGCCCTCTCTGGCCGACGGGGCCTGCGACGGCATCTGAATAACGACGGTCCAAATTGCCGCTCCGCGACCTGGCGGGGGGGGGGGGCGGGATAATTGGATGGAGGGGTGCTTCGGTGGTATATGGGGGCGGGCGGAAGGGGAGGGGGGGGCCGCGAAGCTAGAGGGGCGGGGTGGGGGGGGATGGGGGGGGGGGGGGGGCCCCGGGGGACATCGCCCCGCGGATCCACGTGATGCTGCTGGAGATGATGGCCAGCAACTGCCCCTCAGATACGCGCCCCCATCCGGCGCTCATGTTCAAGTCTCTTGCCTGATAGGTTCCAACGATCTTGTCAGCTGGCCCCTCAGTCTGCTCCCAATACCATAAGAGCTCTTTGGAACGTGTTGGCAGACGTGCGGCTTTAGCATCGAAGGCCTCTGTATGCACTGGGGGCCAGGGGATTCCCGCCTTGGAGTACATGTCCAAATGATCCACATCGAAATTATTCGACGCGACTTTGGCTTCCTCGTTCTCGGCGGCGTCAGGGTCGGGCTGGGACTTGGGCTTGGCCCTGAGCTTCGGGGCGGCCTTGCCGATCTTCGGAGCGTTGGCCTCCTGCGCGGCGGCGGGCGACCTTGGTGACACGTAGGACTGGAGCGGCACGCCTGGCCGACAGGGGCGACAGGCAGATGGGCAAGAAGAGGAAGTGGGCGACAGGCAGATGGGCAAGCAATATATACTAGAGGACAGCGAGAAGTCAGGAAGGCCTGATTCGGAGAGAGCAAGGCGATGGCGCGAGGCAACGCAAAACGCCTGGAATGCCAGCCGCCCGGTTGATGGCGTCGATGAACTTAGCGACCCAT